TTTAATATATTGTAAAAATGTATTTTATTCCTGTGATGTAAAGCTGTATTGTGGATCAAATAAATGCAGGCTTGGTGAGCAGAAGAGAATTCTTAAAAAAAAAACATGAAAAATCTTACTGTTCAAAAACTTTTGACTGGTAGTGTATGTAATATGTATAAAATTTGATACATTTTCTTCTTAAATTGGTGTTTTTGTGCAGGTTTAACTCTTTGTCCTGGTGATGTGTTTTTGACTGGAACGCCTCCAGGTGTGGGGGTGTTCAGAAATCCACCTGTGTATCTAAAGGTGAGCTTTCTATAGGAAAATCAATGTATATTTCAGCATGGCTGGGTTAGCGTCACAACCCACAATCACTGCACCTGGCAGGCTGTTAACACCTGCTTAAAGCCTTTCCTGAAACAGTCAGAACAGTGTCACTGACACTGGCACAATGAGAACAGCTGAAATGCAGAACAACACAAGACCAGCTGGAATGGTCTTATTGACGCCAGTTTTCACACGAAACTGAAGTTTCAAAAGAAAAGAGGCACATTTAACAGCCACTGGCATCAGTATTTAAGCTTTCTAATTGGCATCGACAGGACTGACAGCAATTCAAGCTGATTTACAGAGGGAATCACAGGGCTGAACAAATCAGTGCAAAGATGCAATTACTGACTTCTTCCAGGTTTTGCCAGTTACCCAGAGTGATCCAATGAGATATAATGAACTACAAACAAATAAGAAAACACAATCAGTCTTTGCAGTGACTATTTCGAATATCAAAAAAGTAATTGCTGGGAGAAAATAATTGCATTTGTAAAATAGTTTGTATCAAATATTTAAAGATTATATTATGTAAGATGTTATCTCATTATTAAAGCTACTCTATGTAACGATTACTTTAGTGGTTAAAGAAATAATCAAATTAAAATTCCATGCTTATTGCCAAAGAACCTTGTTTTGCTTGTGCTTTGGCTCTTCGTTTTTGGTCACATAACATAACGAATGACGTGATATGCACAAGGAACGACATATTACATTTCCTGCAAAATCCTTCCTTAATAGCTCTAAAATATATACAGTATCTCACAAAAGTGAGTACACCCCTCACTTTTCAGCAACCATTTTAGTATATCTTCTCAAGGGACAATACTACAGAAATGAAACTTGGATATATTTTAGAGTAGTCAATGTGCTGCTTGTATAGCAGTACAGATTTACTGTCCTCTGAAAATAACTCAACATACAGCCATTATTGTCAAAATAGCTGGCAACAAAAGTGAGTACACCCTAAGTGATAACAGCTGTATGTCGTTTAACCATGCAAACCCACGTCCTATTCATCATGTTCATGTTTTTGTCTGCTTGACAGGACCATACAAATTTGGCATGTCTCCAGACCTGAACCCTATTGAGCACCTGTGGGGCATCCTTAAGCGGAAGGTGGAGAAGCGCCATGTGTCTTAACATCCAGCAGAGGAAGATGATCCCAGCAACAACCTGTGCAGCTCTGGTGAATTCCATGCCCTGGAGGATTAAGGCAGTGCTAGATAACAATGGTGCTCACACAAAATATTGACACTTTGGACAGTTTTGACATATTCACTTAGGGCGTACTCACTTTTGTTGCCAGTTATTTAGACAACAATGGCTGTATGTGGAGTTATTTTTAGAGGACAGTAAATCTGTACTGCTAAGCTGCACATTGACTAGTCTAAAGTATATCCAATTTTCATTTCTATAGTATTGTCCCTTGACAACATATAATAAAATGGTTGCTGAAATGTGAGGGGTGTACTCACTTTTGTGAGATACTGTATATATAAAAAAAAAACTTTCATTCTTCATTCAGTCAAACAGTGATCCGCCACGCCACGTCATTTACACCAAATATGAGCTTGTTAGAAAATAACTGACTTTAATCCTGGGTGATTATAAATGCAATTTACGCAACAGAAAAGTGTTAGTTCCTTTAGAACACTGTTGCATGTTGACACTTATGAGTGGCTAAAAATATGTACCATCACATTTAAATTGATCTAGTCCGCTGAGATTTACAAGCAAAAAATTTACAAGCCCCACTGGGTATAAGCATGTCTTTAAAATGTTAGAGGATCAGTTAACAGAAACTCCACTTCCTCAAATATGATATTAATGTATAACATGTATATTAAATCTGTGTCCCAGTAGATGTAATTGGTTCATTTTTTGTGTAAAAAAAGCAGCCAATTTCCTATCAAATAGTTCTCAAGAGTAGAGCAGTAAAATATTTTATCCTTTTCATAATGCAGCAGATATTATTTCAACATGTTTGATATTACTGTTGTTTTTACTGAAGGTCAGTATATTGTTTTAATGTGTTTCAGAGGGGAGATGTTGTGGAGTGTCAGATTGACGAGATCGGGTCGATATGGAACACAGTCGTGTAACAGGAAGATCCTACATTGATTGACGTGCCACTACTGCATTTATAATTATTTCATACTGACATCATAAAACATGGATTCTTTTTTAACTGAAGAAAATAAAATAAACATTATGCTCTGGGCCAATTGGAAAAGAAAAATGTTTAGAATGCAGCCTTTTAGTCTCATTATCACTGTGCTTTTCACCATTTAGTTTCAAACTGGGGTTTTCATGCCCAGGGTTCCAGTAGAGGGCATTACTGGCCTGTTTATGTTAGCTTTCATTATTTCTTGTCCATTTTATCTATTCTCAGCTTCAGATAAATAGGTTTGATTCCCAGAAACAATTTATTTTTGTGCTAAATTACACTGCCTTTCAAAATAAGGCGACTATTCAATAAGCAGGATTCAAATTCTTATAGCTGGAAAAATCATTCAAATGAATAAAAAGTCTTAAAAGTTGGTCAAAAGGTATGGGACCCCTGAGTTGAATACTAAATCTAATACAATAAAAGCAGGAATTGTAGCCTTTTTTCAAAGTATCTTAAAGTTGTGATGAAAACAACTAGCGACAGATGTTTTCTATCATACTGTGACATACATACGTAAAAGTATGTAACAGATCCATTGGAAGATCCATAAAACTTGGATCCATTGGTCATTGATTGGATCAGTGACCACTCAAAAACTAATGTAAGCTTTCAGTCAAATGCAAGAAAAGAGCAGGGTTTAAGCAGACTAAATGATTGGAGAAGTCTGGCATATATCACCAGAGAGAAGTCTGGAGGATCGAGTTAAATTAAATTAAGAAATAAAAAACATGGGTGAATCGGTCACAACAAGATCTATAACATACGTTCACAAAATAGATAGGGCGAATTTCCATTTCATGCCAACCTTAAAACAAAGTGATTTTTAAAGGAAAGTGTTAATCAAGTGAATCCCTGAGTGCAGCAGCCAACTGTTATTTCTCAGCCCATCTTGTTTCTTGTTAATCACCCTATTCTTTTCCCATCTCCAGCTTTCACGCTCATCTAGCGGTGTGTGTGTGTGTGTGGCGAGTCTGTGGGTCGATTGTCTGGGTGGCTCTAGAGAGCTTATTCGGCACTTTTGCGCTACAAGCAGCAGCCGTCCGTTAGTGTGTTTCAGACGAACACGCAAGGCCACTCACTCAAGAATGATGGTTGTGTGTAAATGCACATTTACTCAGGAACTGTTCTCATGTTGCATGGATGGGTGTTTATATATGGGACTGTCAAGAGATGGGTATATATATAGAGCCAAAGTCATTTCCAGGGAGTGATAGTGCAGTGCCTCTGTAGCATCCATCATGATTATTACCCATCAATACTCCATTTAGAGAAAACCTCCTGAAACTCAACTGGATCACTGGAATCACTGATTCTTGAGACAGAGGAACTGTTTTGGATTGAGGTGATCATTTACTTTTTGGGGTAAACATTTTTCTTTTATTTTCCTGGATATTTTTAATAACCAAATGTCAACATATCAAAAGTATTGCATACTCTAATGTATATCTATAATATAGCATTGAAACACTGTTATGAATTTAGACTACAGGATGGTTTTCAAAAGCTCATTTTTTAGCTCTTTCTGTTGAATTCAGGAAATTGTCAGAAAGTCTTGCAGTGTTAAAAAAAATGACCATCCTCTTTTATCACATGAATAGTGGCAAAGTATAAGAAAATCCAAAACAATTTCTTTGTAATTGAGCAGTTTTGATGGAGTTGACATTTCCTCTCACCAGTTAGCTCAAATGTAAAAAAAAATACATACATATAAATCTCACTTGAGCATGTGATGACGACGAACTTACAGCAGAGGAAATAAACTGGTAAAGAAAGAAGGTGAATTTGACATTGCTTTTTAGATGTTTTTGATTAAAAAGCTGATTTTTTTTCATAAACATCTTAGTGCAGACAAAGTATGAATGTGGCTGTGAAACCTTGAAAATGACATTGATTTTTAATTAGCATTTCCCTCTCTCAGGAGATGGCATTTCTGTATTGACATATATTTTTAATGTATATTAAGTATTGGTCTGTTTTTTTTTTTTATAATTACTTTCAAGAAAATTGTAGACAATTTTAATATTGATCTTTTTAAAATGTTCTATTATAGATTTTTTTCAGAATTTTGTAATGTACATGAAGTATTCATCTGAGTTTTTTTTCTATATAATTATTTAATTTACAATACATAATACGCACATTTTAGTGATTATCTTAGATTCATTTTAAAGTGCAACTGTTACTCTTTTTAAAACTAAGGACAAGTAAAAGCAAGACCTCTTTTGTTCCATGTCTCAAGAATCAGTTAAATGGTACTTTGGTGTTCAGTGTTTGTGCTAATGGAAGCAGAATATGCATAGTAAGGAAATGTATGTGATAATTCATCTTAATGTTTTAGGTAATGCAGAATGTTTGCATATATATGAACATTCATATGCAGTGGTGTGTGGCTAAACTATAAATCAAACCATGACAGAAACACTGCAACTGGGTCAATTATCAGAAACGTGTGTACTGAACCAAGACCATTACATATTCATTACAGTTAAACAAAAGAATAATAATAAACAACACAAATTAACAAAAAAACTTTTAGCAGGAATTTATCTGCTCTTCATAAACAGAGAACATTATTTAACCATCTGAATAGTCATTATCCAACCAATAACTAAACCAATTCTGGGCTCTCAACAACAAAATCTAACAAAAACGCAGCCTCAGCATCATGTATATTACAAAAAGCAAGTGCTCTCAGCAAAACAGACATATAAACACAAAAAAGCATTCATAATTAATGATTTACACTACACTGAAGAACTGAACAGGAATTTCAGAAGTGCTTACTGTTATCATTCCCAGCTGAGACTGACTTCTCTTCCAAACATTTACTTTTCTCTTTCAGTTATACATGAACTGTTTGAAAAACTGCAAGAGTTTCTCTTTGTGAGCACACTGAGAGAAGAGAGGACTGACATCTAGATACACATCTTCTCTCTGCCCGTCCTCAATCAACACCTAAAGCACAGAAACAGAGAAATGCTGTTTAGTCTCCAGAGGCCAAATTAATCTTCCTTTATTACAACACCTGCTACATATTGTTACACTTTACTGTCCTCCGTTTATCTGGCCTTGCACTTTTATTTACAGCTTCTGTATATAATGATTTCTGAAGAATCATGTGACACTGAAGACTGGAATAATGATGCTGAAAATTCAGCTTTGCATCACAGGAATAAATTATAATTATATTAAAATAGAAAACATTTATTGTACATTTTAATATTTTACAACATTCTGATTTTGATAAAATGAATGCAGCCTCGGTGAGCATAAAACATTAATCAAAAACATAAAAAAATCTTACCGACCCCAAAGTTTTGAATGGTATATATTTAGTCATTATACTGTGGCACTGTTGAATGCTTGAATCTGATTGGCTGTTGAACATTCTAAGGTGTGCAATTATTTTCAAAGAGATACATAGCGAAATGCAGGTCTTTACTGCATTACGTCTATATCACGTCGCCAAACGATTTCAGTTATTTCAAAGGTCCTTACAGCCTTATCGCAGCAAAAACCAAAACCCACAGCAACACTGACCAAGCAAATACATATAGTAAACAACAAGATAAAAATGACAAATTATTTCCATGTTTTTGCCACAAAATTACATTTTATTACTCTTTCTCCTGCTCACTCTCCCATACAAATGCACACGCAAAAGTAAGGACACACAAAGAAACATACACGTACACAGAAACGTGTTGTCAGCGCTGCTCTGACCATTTCATCAGTGAAATAGTTTACCAACTTAAAAGCTACATGATATTACATGATTTTATGTTCTTAATATGTATTATTTTAAAGTTTGTATATCTATTATTTGTTTAATTTATAATTATTTAGATTTTCCATACATGTAATAAAAATATAAAATTCATACATATTATCAACAAATAAATTAATTGTAATAAAGTGTTCCAATCCAGAAGAAAAAAATCCATTCTACATGTTTGCTTGAGGTTCTGATGCGAGGGAAGACACAATCCACAGCAGCTTCTCTCCTGCAAACTCATGCCATTGACATTCCCTTCCTGTTCTCTTTGTGCTGAATTCATCGCACAGATACAGAGAAACTGCGCAACACGCAGACAGACACCAGACTTCAAGAGCAGCATCTCTGAACTGTCTGTCTTAATTTAAGTCTTTTTTTTCTGTCTGTGTCTGAGGTTTGCATGTTAGTGTTTGTGCGTGTTTCTCAACACGCTGGAACTCTGTATCCAAAGTGTTCAAAGATTGTGAGTACTCTGAATCTGAATATATGATTATAAACAAATCCAACAACACTCTGAATGTATAAACAAAACTTTCTGGATGATAACTGTCTATATTTTATTAAAGCTGTATGTGAGTTTGTGTACCTTATAAGAGCGTGCGTCTGGTTCCTCACAGTCTGAATCGCTGCTCTGGTCAGGATTGTCTGAAGCAGCCCATGACAACACACCTTGCCTCTTCATGAAGTCACAAACCGGTGTATCCCTCTGAACCTATGTACACACACAAACAACGAGTTCACATCTCTAAAGACGCATACAAACAAGCTGCAAAATTATCAGTTTAGGGTTGAAATGACCTTTAACCACAGACAAACAAAAATAGCTTTCACGTCTGTGGGTGTTTGTGAATCAGTCAGCTGAAAACTGTGGCGGCACTTGAAAATAAATGGACACAGACCGAACGGTCAGCATGTCAGAGATTAGATTGAGTCTGAGAGCTTGCTAGATGTCTGGGCAGTGGAGTGAAAACTGTATTTTTGGCTACGTCTCTGTGAATTCTCTGTTTGTTGTTTTGATCTTGACATTGAAAACTTAAGAAAATCTACATTTGTGAGGGTGTGATACTGTATATTGTCCAGGCTAAAAAAAGTGTCTCTGCATTTATATATCTACATACCTGCCAACCGTGGAAAATTTTTTTTTGAGTATCAGCGTGGCGGGCGGGGGGTGGAGTGGGGGTAAACGGTTTACTGTTTTTTACTGTTTACCGTAACTGTTTAGTAAATTTGTGCTATTTAGTTTTTTTTTTATGCTATTTAACAAAGGAAAGAAAAAAAAAAACTCCTTTAATTAAAACTCCAGTACACTTCTGTATAGGGCTGGGCGATATGAGCAAACATTCATATCTCTGTATTTTTTGGCTGATTTGCGGTATACGGTTGCCTATATATCTCGGTATTTTGTATTTGGATTAAACAAATAAAGTGAATGTAAGCATGTAGGCATATATTATGTGCAAAAAAGGGTTAAAATCACATTACATTGTAACATTGCAATCTAAAAACAAAAATAATCCTTTTAAAGCGGAAGTTAAAATTACTAAACTAAAAATGAAAATAATAAAAAGCACAGACTAATTGAGTATAAAGGCTATTCTGATTACCCCATTACACTTTACAGTTAGTGCTATCATACAAATACACTTACTTGTAGGTTTAAAATTCTACATATGTCACATTTATTGTCCAACTACAAATATTTCAGCAAAATGTGTATTTTAGTCAGAGTTATTGCGCTCCTATGTCTGTTTGGCGCGCATGTGCGCGGCGGCGCTCGTTCTAAATGAATGAATGTCTGTGGAGTTTAGCGGAGAATCACAAAGCAAAAGCTCATGCACTTCTCACAGCAAAATGGAAATATTTCCATGGCTTTTTTAACATTTACAGATGGAGAATATACCTGTGAAATGTAAGTTATGCATTAAGGAAAACAGCACATCTCAAACACATTAAACAGTGCGTCTCTGTCAGCCTCACACATAGCCTTTCTGTCAGAGCATCTGATGGGGCGAGCGTGAGCCGCTTTGAACTGAAACTATAAACTATAGGCTACTAGGAGAGAAATAAAACCCAGAAATTATTTAAATGCACAACCCCCCCCAAAAAACGCTCTGATTGGTTGAACTCTTCATCTTTTTCTGTTGCTTGTTTTGAATACTGCGCGTGGACAGAGGCGTCACACTGCAAAAAATGGCTTATCTTACTTAGTATTTTTGTCTTGTTTCTAGTCAAAATATCTAAAAATTCTTAAATCAAAAACAAGTAAAATTATCTGCCAGTTTCATCTTGTTTTAAGAATATTTTACTTACACCACTGGCAGATAATTTTACTTGTTTTAAGCGAAATGCACTTAATTTAGTTTTTTCCCCCTGGAAACAAGACTAAATATCCCAGCGTACTTTGAGGTCAAAATGCGTACAGGTTGGCAGGTCTGTATCTATCTCAAGTTTTTATTCATATCTCTATTTTAAGATTACTGGTATCAGCTGATAAGTGTGCTGCTTTGGCCGAGTGGCACAGAAGCTGTAGTTTCCCTTGTGTCAGTGCAAAAAACTACCAACAGCCTTATCAATGATGCTAAAAATAATCATTGTCTGACATTTTATGTCATGCTCTATTTCAATCTGTAATAATATAAAACCTGGTCCTTTAAATCCTGACATCACTCCTCATCTTTCAAAGAATCCCTTATAAACTTAATTTTCACCCATTTTTTCACTTTTAATTTCTATTACCATATTTTAAAGTGAGAGTATCAAAATAAAAGTTTTTATTTTGTCAGCTCTTTTTTAATTTAGTCTTTTTAGTTTTGTTAAATGTCCTTTTTAGGTTTTATCATATTTAGTCATCTTATCTTGTTTTTTGTTTAGTCAAATTTTAGTCGACAAAGTCTGTGAATTTCAGTCTATTAAAACAGTCACATTTTAGTCCGGTGATAAATGTCCTTTTTGGGATTTATCACATTTAGTCATCTTATCCTTTTTTTTTTTGTTTGTTTAGACAAGTTTTAGTTGACAAAGTCTGTGAATTTCAGTCTATTTTTAGTCTATTAAAACTATTGCTGTCAAACAATTAATCGCGATTAATCGCATCCAAAATAAAAGTGTTTGTTTACATAATATATGTGTATATACTGTGTGTGTATATTTATTATGTATATATAAATACAAACACATGCATGTATATAATTAAGAATAATATGTTGTTTATATATTAAATATATTTATATATAATATAAAATATAAGAATATGCATATATAAATGTATAAACGTAAATAATTGTAAAATATATACTGTATGTGTGTCTTTATATATACATAATAAATATACACCGTACACATACATATATAATGTAAACAAAAACTTTTATTTTGGATGCGATTAATCGCGATTAAATGTTTGACAGCACTAATTAAAATATAGTCAGTCAGTCATAGTTTTAGTCATGCTGTATAATGGTTAAACTGATAATCAATTATTTTGCTCAAAATTATACTGTTCATGATTGTGGAGAATTATTGCACTTTCACCTATAAGCATACTGTACACACGGTTTATTTTATCTCATCTTGTTTCCTGATTTATTATAATATCAGAAATATAAACACTCTTACATTTTGAAAAATGATAACTCAGAAGTTTCTCTTTTTATTTTTTTATTTATTTTGTTTATTCATTTTATTTTATAAACTACATTTTTGTGTTTTTTATCTACAATACTGCATTTCGATATAGTCACAGTTAATATTTAATGATGTCAGTGACGTCTCGTCTTCATTTTATTCTTATTGGAAAAAAGGTTGAATTTTTGTCATAGTTTTCATTAACGAGTTTATATAAAGCTTATAAAGCAGAGAAACAAGATACCAGTTATCTTTTTTTATCTGATTGAAAGTATTCATCATCTGTCCATGTTTCTTCAAATATAAATGCAAATATCTTATCAAACATGATTCCCAAAATAATATAATAATACATTTGTATTAAATACGCTGTTGTATATGATAACTACTCTATTCTCTAGAATATTAGGATCAGCCATTGAAAAACCATTTTGATGACCAGGGATTTTGAAAATGCTACATGTGTGAGGACGCATGTGTGTGTTTGTTTGTTTGTTAATGCAGGTGTCTTACCTCCTCCATAACAAGAACCCCGCAGCGCACCATGCTGTCCACCACATCAAGAGCAAAGCCATGAGCGGTTTGACACGGCTAAGAGAAAGAGACAGACATATAATGGCTGGACAGACAGACAGATATGAGCAGATAGACAGGAGGAGAGATAATTAGTTGTGTAGTGTTTTTGTTCTTGTTGACATTTCACAGGCTTTACAAGTGTTTATTTGCTGATGCAAGTGTAAAATGTGCCGGCAATAATTACACATGCTATTCCCGCCACTGAAGAACCCTTGAACGGGAAACTAGACATCAAGAGAGAATAATAAAGGGAACAGATGGGGAGCAACTGATTGATTGGAAGCGTGAGATAGAAATGTGGAGAATGTATGAAAAATAAACGATTTTTTTACTGACTGACGGACAAGCAAGATGACTGTATGAATCACTACTAGCGTCAAGGTGATTATAGACGTCATAGTGAGATGTCCTTGTGTGTGTTTGAGTGAGACTCACCGGTATGAAGCCGGGTGACAGTAGATGTGTGAGTTGGAGGCTTTTCTCTGTCAGCTCCTCCTGGCCCAGAACAACATCAAACTCCAGGTCTCCACAGCCTACAACCTCACTCAGCATGGCTGAGACGGCACACGCTATACACACACACACACCTTCAGGATTAGCACTGTCAATAAACCCTGCTGTGGTGCAAACGTGACTCAACCCAAACACATCAACACCCTGAAGTGCAGGCCCATTCAAACCGGGGACGTGCCCCCTCAGATTATTGAGCCAAGTGGAGTTTTTGTTTACAAAAGTTACTTTTATCTTGTATTATTAAAGGATAAGTTCCACAATTATTGTTGGTAAAATAAGTGTTTGTGTAAAATAATCACTGATCTTGAATCTTCTGCAGATCTTTAAACTAAAAAATTAATCAAATTTCATTAGAAAAGTTATAACAATTGACTGGGTAATATTAAATACTGGGTAAAAATATAAAGTTTCTTATTTTGTGCTATCTTCATTTGAATGATCTCAATATTGATTTTTATAATCCCAAGATTATTTTAAGATTATTTTAAAAGAAATACATTTTAACCAGCAAGGAAGCATTAAACTGATGCAAAATAACAGTAAAGACACCTGTAACATTACAAAAGACTTCTATTTCAAGTAAATGCTGTTTAAAGAAAGAAATTATCATGGTTTCCACAAAAAATATTAAGCAGCACAACATGTTTTCAACTGTGAAAATTGTAAGAAATGTTTCTTGAGCAGAAAATCAGCATATTAGAAGGATTTCTAATCATGTGACGCTGAAGACTAGAGTAATGATGCTGAAAATTCAGCTTGCATCACAGGAATAAATTAAATTTTTAAACATTAAAATAGAAAACAGTTAATTTTAATTGCAATAATATTAATTATTATATATTATACATAAAATAAATTTTAAAAAGTATTATTATTATTACTGTTTTTGTCACTATATTACTGTATTTTTGATCAAATAAATGCAGCCTTGGTGAGCATAAAAGACTTTCAAAAATATTCAAACATCTTTCTTATTCCAAACGTTTCAACAGGAGTATACAGTATATACAAATTAGACATTATAACTTAAACATATCCAAAAGAATCTGATTCAAATCGGAAAATCTCTATCAATACCAAGCCTTAAAGGGATAGTTCACCCAAAAATGAAAATTCTGTCATTACAGTTTTTTTTACAGTCGTTAGGACACATTTCTCAATACCCAAGTCATTTTTTCAAAACTTTTCACACAGTTCTCCTAACCAAATTTCAGCTTGGCACAGCAGTTAATTTTACATTCAAAATGCACTAAAACTACTAGAACATTTCATGCATGTCTCTAATCAACTCATTCTTCCATAACACTAGCAAAGGCTTTCAAACTAATTTTGTCACTCATAAAACACTGACCTAAAACACTAACAACAGGTAGCATTATGCAATGTTTGCTTTTGAAAATGTTTGCTTTTGTAAAATTTCTTTACAAAACAAGATCAACACTATCTATTGCTTATAATTCACTGCAGTATATGTTACATAGTTCATGTTTGCATTACAGTGCAAACTAATTCCTACTGTAGGTTTTCCCCTTTTGTATAGATGGTAATGAACTTGAAAAACTAACACGTGTAGGTTTTCAACTATATCAAATTGCTTTGTTTTGTTTTGTTTTTAAATTCAGAATATATTTCAATATGGTATTACTGTAGAAATGTAGCAAAATTATGTCTGAATTTTTGTATTATGTTAGGTTTTGAACTTAGGCTTAACAGTTTTGTAAAGAGTATGTAAAATTGTGCTTGTAGGTACATAGAGTTTTGCCATTGTTATTGTCTGAGTGAGAAAATAATTTATGTCATTTGAATGATGTAGTTATTGAATGCACTTTGTGTCAAAGCAAAGACAAATGATACACAGTTTAGCCCACATCGAATACTGTTGTGTGAAGAGTTTTGAAAAAGTGACCGAAGTATTGAGAAATGTGTCCTAGCGATTGTAAAAAACTGTAATTACTCACCCTCATGTCGTTCCAAACCCACAAGACCTTCATTCATCTTGGGAACACAAATTAAGATATTTTTGATGAAATCCGAGAGCTTTCTGACCCTGCATAGACAACAACGCAACTGAAACGTTCAAGGCCCAGAAAAGTAGTAAGGACATTGTTAAAATAGTCCATATGACATCAGGGGTTCAACCGTAATTTTATGAAGCTACGGGAATACTTTTTGTCCACAAAGAAAACAAAAATAACGACTTTATTCAACAATTTCTTCTCTTCCGTGTAGTGTTGCTTTCGTCAACGAAAATTATGACTAAATATCGTCGTCAACGAAGTGTCAGTCTTTGGCACATGTTCACGAGAGTATCATGAAGCACAATATCTTAATTTGTGTTCCGAAAATGAACAAAGGTCTTACAGGTTTGGAATGACATAAGGGTGAAGTAATTAATGACAGAATTTTAATTTTGGGGTGAACTATCCCTTTATTATTAGGTCACGATTTTACACTGCTTGCTAACCTAAAAAGCAGCAATAGACTAACATGCCTTAAACATAATAAAATGAACTAACAACATTTTTTTTTCTTTAGTCATCATGTCTTATCTTGCCAACGTATACCAAATGAGCCAGAACTCCCACTGATGCCCCCTCAAAAAAGACAGGTGCATGATGCCTGCCAACAGCAAGTTTCCTTGCCTCCACCCAATCTTCAACACACTCTGCCTACCTCCTACAGCCTCGTGTATGAAGACGTGAGTGAGCAAATCGCAGTGCTGGCTCAGTATGAGCAGAGAGTCTGGATCGGGCCGGGGTGCGATGATGGGTTCTCCTGTGGGCGGAGCTGCAGCCAGAAGCAGATACGGGTGGAGCAGAGAGAGCGCGTGATGCACCAGCCCGACCAGAGAGCCACCGTAACCCACGTCTGTGTTTCTAAACAACACCTCCTCCAGCAGCCAACAGATGTCCCTGCACAGCACGGATACACGCACACCCTGAGAAAGAGGGAGAAGATCGTTACAATCATTAGCAGTGTCATTAAAGCAAGCAGAACCATGTTTGATGCTTGTATGAATCATCTACAACCAGTGGAGGATTAATAAACCAATGAATGTACTATTATAAAAGGGTTCCAGTCATTTTTATTGGTTAATAGAGCTGGTATTAAATTATTTTTAATTTAACGTAGTTATCAATATACAGTATATTTAGGCTTTTATTAATACACAGTATAGACACTTTAATGCAACATTGTTTACATAAAGCACATAAACACTTGTGTTGAATAAGTATTTTAAAGCTGCAGTCCGTAAATTTTGCCTCTTTGTCGCCATCTCTGTTTGAAACCTTCAACTGCAGTAATTTGCGGAATTATTTTCTTCAGATTCTAGCCTACGTCTTGGAAATATGACCCAAATAAGAATTTTCACCAGATATTATCATCTTAGCAAGTAAGTAACAATTCTGCTACTTTTGTTCTGACCAACTGAGAAAAAAAACATTACAATACATCACACTACCAATGGTGATTAAGTCTAACGATTGTTTAGCTCATATCACATCAAACCATGCAAATTATTATTATTATTGTTATACTTTGTTCTCAAAATGTTAATGTTAACAACATCAGCATTGCGTGACGATGTTTATGTAGTGTGTTTTAGCATTTACATGTACATTTCAATTTCTGTACAGTCTAATCTCTAATTGTCATACCATTTGACGCATGAAAACACACTTGGAATTTGCAAAAAAGCACCTAAAGGACCCTCAGACTGTGAGAAACAATATTCTCCGGTCTGATTAACCTCAATTCCAAACATCATGTTTGAAGGAAACCAGCTCTGCTCATCACCTGCAGAGTACCATCCCAAAAGTAAAGCGTGCTGGTAGCAGCCTCATGCTGTGGGTCTGTTTTTCAGCGGCAGGGACTGAGAGACTCGTCAGAGTAGAAGAAAAGCTCAATGCACCAAAATATTGAGATAGCCTTAATGAAAACCCAGTCCAGAGCATTCAGAACCTCAGGCTCAAAATGTGTGTCTGTCTCCATCCAACCTGACAGAGCTTGAGAGGTGAAGAGGTGAGGAGAAGAATGGCAGTTAATTGCCAAATGCTGATGTGCAAAGCTTGTCGCATCATACTCAAAAAGACTTGAGGTTGTAAAGGTGCTTCAACTAAGTACTGAGTTATAATATACATAAGAGAATACTTATGGAATTTTTACATTTTTAATATTGTGACAATTCTGTTTTTGCTTTGTCATTATGGTGTATGGAGTGTAGATTAATGTGGGGAAAAAGTAATTTAAGCAGTTTAACATAAGGCAGCAACAAAACAAAACGTGAAAAAGTTTCCAACTATTAACCTTAGTTTTCATGGATACTACTTAATTTGCTTAATAAAAAAGTAATAAAAAAAGTGATATATGAATATGTGATTTAAAGCCCCAAAGGAGTTTTTTTTTTTTTAAAACCTTGCGATGCTTGTGGAGCAGCAAACAGGACACCAGACTGGTACACATGACGGCCATACTTGTAGTTGAAGCTAAAATAAAACAAACACGCACACACATACACAAAGCTTAGCCTCATACATAGAGTAACGATTATTAAAGTGCAAGAGTTTGATCTTTGGGAGCCTGCGTGTGTCGAACAGACTCACAGTACATCAAATGAAGAGTCAGTGCGATAGTCTGCTGTCTATCAGCGGGAGACAGTTCAGGCATGATAGCGGGAGGGAGGAGCCAGGAAACATCCTTCTGGCTGAAGATAGTGTCCATCCTGATGAAATAAATCACATTTCGTTTTATTACAATATATTTTGTCCAATATATATATACATATAGGGGTTTCATTCCCTGAAACAGCCCCACTGCCTTGATCTCAGCATTAAATTTACATTACAGTCCTCTGCAAACCTTCTGTGACTGTGTAACCTGACAATTGTTCTCGCTCCCTAACGTGTACAACAAAAGGCTTTACAACAATACATTATTACCAGCTGTCAAAATGCAAATGCCGAGCCCCCAGGGCTGAGTCTTCATGATAAGGCCTCCCGCTGTGGATTTGCCGCTTTAAAACATATAACACCCCCCGAGGCACTCGGAAGAGACTGAACAGCGGATGAGAAGCTCTTGGTAGATTTTCCAGGATATTCCAGCTCATTATGAGTCGGAGTGGGAATAACTGACTTCTCCCAAGAACCTGAGCTGCTTAAAATGAGTGCACTGCAGAAACGTTTTATGCACGTGGGTCTGGAGGTCTGATTCAGCTGACTGGAGTCTCAGTTAGACAGGAAGTTGAACTGGCTGAAGTGGACTGAAAGGTATCATCCATCATTCTCAAACAGCATCCTTCTGTCAATGTTTATTCTTCCTGTTGTTTTTCATGTTTTTTAGTCTTAACAATTTGTCATGTCAGATAAAAACCCAAAGGTGAAGAAGAATTGGAGGTCCAAACCTCCAGGGACCTTCATGACTGACAAGAAAATCTGCAATGAAGGTTGCAGGAAGAATGAATGGCTTGAAGTGAAATGTGTGAACTCTTTCGTCTTTGACCATATGGACCAAAGATGCTATGGGGGCAAATAAGAAGAGATGGATAGAGAGAGGAATGCTGCAGATAGGATACAGGAACAGAGGGATTGAAGAGACCTGTCGTGCAGTATGGCGGTCAACAGCAGGTCCTGTAGGGGGCGCCCTCCATCCACACGACACTTTCCACTCTCGCACATCTCCTGAGAGAGAAGGAGAGAATGAGAGAGTGTAAAACTTTTCCACAGTGCTCATACATAAGCCTCAAAAACTGAGATGTTGCATTAAAGGGATAGTTCACCCAAAAATGAAAATTCTGTCATAATTTACTCACCCTCATGTCGTTCCAAACCTGTATGAGTTGCTTTCTTATGTTGAACACAAAAGAAGATATTTTGAAGATTGCTGGTAATCAAACAGTTGGTGGTTGCCATTGACTTCCATAGTATTTTTTTCCTACTCCTTTGGGTGAACTATCCCATTAAGGAGGTAGTTCTCCGCTGGTTTCGATTCAAGACTCTGATTTTGGACGTCAAATGGCAGTACTAGATTTATTTACTACAGCAAGTAAACAAATTTATACTGAAAATTATACATGAAATTGACTAATATTACCACAAACTGCACAGATCCAACAATGTAGTTTTCTCAACAAAGATTTGTGCCTCTTATGCTTTAGAAACAGGGTTTAGTAACAAAATTGTGAATCTGTGTTTTAGGCCTTGCAGTGTAAATAGTTGTCATTTACATCAAACAAAACTATAATATAAAACAAAATGTCTCACTTGGATGGATGGATAACTTTAGTAGCTTTAATAAACCATCAATAAAGAGCAAAGCCAAGATTCTACAGAATCAGTATTACATCTAGGGAAATGACTATGCCAATAATAAGTTTCTTTAGCATATTATTTGCATATTTGTCCTATTGCTTGTAATTTGTTTCCAGATTATTTATTTTATCACTTCCTGTTCACTTGTTTTAAACAGCTACTTGAGAAAATGAAGAAATCTTTACTTGCATTACCATTCAAAAGTTTGGGGTCGGTGAATTTTTTTAGTGTTACTGAAATAAGTCTTTTATTCTCACCAAGGCTACATTTATTTGATCAAAATACAGTAAAACAGTAATATTGTAAGTTATTAATACAATTAAAAAAATGTTTTCTATCAGTATATTTAAAAATTTAATTTATTCCTGTAATGCAAAGCTGAATTTTCAGCATCATTACTCCAGTCTTCAGTGTCACATGATCCTTCAGAAATCATTCTAATATGATGATTTGCTGCTCAAAAATGTCTTATCATCAGTGTTGAAAACAATTGTGCTTTTTTTTTCTCCAGGATTATTTGATGAACAAAGCTAAAAAAATCTGCATTTATTTTAGATTATTTGTATTAAAATTGTATTAATAAAAAGTACCAACCCCAAACTTTTGAACAGTAGTCTATGCATATGAAAAGTCTATCGAAGTATTTAAAAGCTATAATCCATTGTTTTATGTAATTTATTAATAATTATATTGATGTTTAACTTTTTAAAGTAGTGTTCAATAGCATATTTTCAATTTTATAGCATATTTTGCAGTGGTATACAAAATGAAATCATGAAAGTATTTTTAAAAGAAATTCAAGGTATTGATATCAACTACTCAAATTGTGGTATTGCAAAAACCCAAATATTACCAAACACTGGATCAATCTGCAAGTTTATGAATTACTCTCCTCCTTTTAATGTTAATTAGCCCATTTGTTTCACTATACTTACTCTATGTATAATTACATGGCAAGATGCATTGTATTATTTGCATTTATTATTCCCCTGCTATCTGTGACCCTATCAGAACAGTCCGGCCGCCCACCAGCTGAGAACAGCTGCGTTAAGGGTCTGCATTTGTATGAAACTATAATTGTTATGTGTGTATGGATGAGTGAGTGCGTGAGTCCTACCTTCAGAGAGAAAGCCTGAGCAAAATGGATCCTAACACTTCCTCTGTGATCACACTTCAGCAGGGAGACGGCAAACCGCAGAGCAGACATCAGGCCGGCCTCCAGACCACACAGACAAATGAAAACACACTGACTCAAACGCTGCCACTCACACAGGCTGATCAAATGACTTGGATCTAATTCGAGAAAACTTCACGGATCTCTAATGGTGAAGAGCTATTAGAGGAGAAATTAGTGGCTGTAATCACTATAATAACTGGCGTCTATTTGAGATGGATGCACACAATAATATAGATTTCTCTTTATCTCTCTCCGAGTCGACACATTCTAGTCTGTACCATTGCAGAGTTAGAAAACACATCTCACAAGCTGCATATTAAAAATCATCAAATCAAAATGAAAAAACACACCATCTGATTTTAATTATCTGAATATTGCTGATTATTACCATGTAATGAATCAGTTCACCTCAGGAATTACAAATACAAAACTACACAAGTGCAATTCCTATGCAAGACTTTTGAGTGGTTTATTGTGCACTGCTGTATGGTTGCTAGGGTGTTCTAGGCTGTTCCTTAATGACCTACACATGGCTGGACGCCCTACACACTGCTCCTGACCCGACTCAAAAGCTTGCTTTGGGTGGCTGCCAGGGTGTTGCTATGCTGTTGATAGGGTGTTCTGGGTGGTTGCTAAGACAATGCTAGGTGGTTGCTAAGAAAATGCTCTTTGGTTGGTTGTTGTGGCGTTCTGTGAATTTGCCAGGACAATGCTGGATATTTGGTAGGACACTGCTAGGCGGTGGTTGTTATGGTGTTTTGGGAAGTTGCTAGGATAATGATAGATGGTTCCTAAGGAGTTCTGGTGGTGGCTAACGTGTTCTGTGAGGTTGCTAGGATAAAGTTGTTTTCTAGGATGTTGCTGGGTGGTTGCTAGGACTGATAGGTGGTTGCTAGAGTGTTCTGTGTGGTTGCTAAGACATTGCTCTTTGTTTGGTTTCTGTGGTGTTCTGTGTGGTTGCTAGAACAATGCTGGATGTTTGGGAGAGGACATTGCTAGGTGGATGCTAGGGTGTTTTGGGTAGTTGCTAGGATAATGTTGCTTTCTAGGATGTTGCTAAGTGGTTGCTAGAGTGTTTTGGGTGTTTGCTAAAAAGTTCTGGGTGGTTGTTAAGACATTGCTAGGTGGTCACTTGGGTGTTCTGGGCAGTTGCTAGGATAATGTTGCTTTCTAGAACACCGATAGGTGGTCGCTAGGGTGTTCTGTGTGGTTGCTAGGATAATGTTGCTTTCTAGAACATTGCTAGGTGGGTCACTAGGGTGTTATGTGTGGTTGCTAAGGTGTTCTGGGTGGTTGCTGGGTGTTTGGTGTGGTTGCTAAAACAATGCTAGGAGGTTGCTGGGGTGTTCTGTGTGGTTGCTAGAATAATGTTATTTGTGTTGTTTGCTAGGTGGTCAATAGGGTGGGCCACTTTTGTATGGTTGCTAAGATAATGCTAGGTAGTTGTTACAGTACTCTGGGTGGTTACTAGGATAATGCAAGGTTGTTGCTAACGAGTTTTGGGTGGTCGCTAAGTTGTTTTGGTATTCTGTGGTTGTCATGATATTCTGTGGTTGACAATGACAATGCTAAGTGGTTGCTAGGACATTGATAGGTAGTCATTAGAATGTCCAGGGTGGCTGCTAAGACACTGCTATTTGGTTGGTTGCTGAGGTGTTCTGTGTGGTTGCTAGGACAATACTGGATATTTGGTAGGACATTGCTAGGTGGTCGTTTGGGTGTTTTAAGGATAGATGGTTGCTAACCAAGAACCAAGTTCTTGCTGGGGGGTTCTGTATAGTTGCTAGGATAAAGCTGGGTGTTTGTTAAGGAGTTCTGGGTGGTCGCTAAGGTGTTCTGTGTGGTTGCTAGTACAATATAATTTTTCTAGGACATTGCTAGGTTGTTTCTGGTGTGTTCTGGGTGGTTGCTAAAACATTGCTAGTGTTCACTAGGGTGTTTTAGGTGGTTGCTAGAGTTCTGGGTGGTCACTAGGGTATTATGTATAGTTGCTAGGATAATGTTGTTTGTGTTGTTTGCTAGGTAGTCACTAGGGTGTTCTGGGCAGTTGCTAGGGTGTTTTGGATGGTTGCTAGGATAATGCTAGGTTGCTGCTAATGAGTTCTGGGTGGTTGCTAAGTTGTTTTGGGTGGTTGTCATGGTGTTATGTGGTTGTTAAGACAATGATAAGGTTGCTGAAGTGTTCTGTGTGGTTGCTACCATGTTTTGGTCTGTAGAGTGTTCTGTGTGGTTGCTAGGGCATTGCTAAGTGGTTGCTAGGGTGTTCTGGGTGGTTAATAGGACCCATAAGGGTGTCGCACACTGGACGAGAAGCGCAGAGAAGCACTGCAACGCGTAGCACCGAGTTGTTGCTGGGCGCCGCCGGTGTGTACACACTCACAGAAAACAATGTGTTAGAATTTTAAAGACGTGGCGCAACGCGCTTCTCGTCCGGTGTGTGACCCTCTTTAGTGATAATTACTTATAATTATAACTAATTCGTTTCTATGGAGTTTGTTGCAACTATGATGAGGCATTGTTTTTTTTTAAATTGTTTCATTGTTTGGCAGATGAAAATAGTCAGATCGCTTCAATAAGCAATAGCACACCTTTCCAAAACGAGCTGCATGATTTTAGGCATCACTCATGTCTGTAGCACTAGGTTACATGACCAAGTTTAATACTGAGTTAAGAGTTTGGCACAGACTATTATCATTGTGTTTATGAGCACCATTATTGTGTTTGCCTTTGTCAGTTAAATGTGAATCTACTTGTGTTTGTAATTTGTTTATTGGTTTGTTTAATAGCCCCATGCGCTAATGGTGATGGTCTGATAGAGGTCATTATGGAATAGAGTGTGTTGTTAATACTAAGGTCGTCACCTGTGGACGTGTAAAATAGCGTGGCAGGCAATCGTAGGAAATGCCCACTGGCACGATGCTAACATCAGGCACTAGACCGTCACTGATGGCCTGATGTACACGTGCTAGCCACTGCCCACTGTGACCTCCGGACGCACAGATGCCCACGCTGACTGCAGCCCCCTCTCGTAACAGCTCACCAATAAACTGTGGAGTGGAACAAAAGAGGAGAAATTATGGATAAAAATGTTTGTTGGAAAACAGAGAGGTTGGACAGCTTTATGATGAGGAAGAGATATAAAGCAGAAAAAATGAACTGCAATATCTGCAAAATCAGTCCAATAAAAATCTAATTGAAAGCCTGCATGTTCGAAGCAAGCATCTGTGTGTCAGAGGAGAGACATAAAATGTGCTATAGCAAGAGAGAAGTGGCAAGTTGACACTTCTATAGAATCAAATGGTACTTTTCGCATGCTTGAACAAAGCATTATGACAATTCTGTCATCATTTACTCACCCTCGCGTCCTTCTAAACCCATACGGCCCGAAATGGACAAGAAAGCACCACAGAAATGGCTCATGTGACTCATGCGCTATATTCCAAGTAGTTTTATGTGTGCGAGGAACAGATTGAACTGTAAGTCATTATTAAAACCTAGCTCTCAAATTTTAAACATGATTGTGCATATTCAAACCAGTGTTATTTTAGTATTATTTACTATTAAATTATTAATTTTGAATTAGCTTTTAATTTTATATTTAAATGTTTCACTTTAATTTAGTTGTGGTATTAGATAATAGTTTTGTGTTTGTCATGATTAGTTTTCTATTTCTTATTTATTTCAATTTTAGTAATTTATTAACAGCTTCATTTCAATTAATGAATAGGATTTTGGTCCTTGTGTGCTTCAAATCTGTATTAAGTGAAACACCATACAAGTGTGAGGAAAATGCATTAGTGGGATATGATTTATTTCTACATGTGAAAGAGTCCATGATGAATTTTTGGTCACACTCGTGTTCATCTAGCTATTATTCATTTTCACTAAATAATTTTTGCTGTTGTTGTCTCCGTAATAGTATATAAATTGACTGCTGATAGACTATTACAGGGATAGTTCAACCAAAAATGGAAATTCTGTCATTACTTACTACATCTTCACATTGATAACCTTCAAAACACACATGAAAATATTTTTAATGAAACCAAAATTTGATGTCCAAATGTGCTCAACTCACAAGAAACAATGAGATGGGAAGTACAGCTGAGCTTCTGTTTTCCATATTTGATGTGCTCTATGTATTGATTAATGTATATATGGGAATAAAAGCCATCATAATTCTTCAGAGGACTTGGATTAAACCGTTTAAATCATATGGATTACTTTTACAATAACTTTATGACCTTTTAGAAGTATCAAAGTTGTGGTGGAAAAGACTTTGACTGGAGAGACAGTAATCTCTCCGGTCTCATTTAAATTCTTAAAGTCTTATGGTTTTGGAACGACATAAGGGTGAGTAATTAATGACACAATTTTAATTTTCGGGTGAACTACCCCTTTAACAGTCCCTGCTCACGGTCCATTTCAAATATGAGAAAGAACAGCATCAATGCTCTGCAAAAATTTCTCCTTTTGTGATTCATGCAAGAAAGTATGTCATATGAGTTTTGAATTATATAAGGGTGCGTAAATGACAAACTTGTAATTTTGAGTGAACTATCTCTTTAACTGTCTCTCTCTCTGTCACACACACACTGAGCCAGATATCTCCCAAATCCATCTTGAGAAGCCTGATAAGCTCATATGCTATTCCAGGCATGACAGATTATTTCCTCTGTTCATTTACGCCAGTCAGAAGCCGTACATATGCACATATCTAATCAAAGCCCTTCATATTAATACTAATATCAGCTCTTCTTGCAATCAAGATCCTAATGCAGATTATGCCAAATCCTCTGACAGTCACAACGTCCAAATTCTTGTAAATATTTCTTGTAAACGGCTAATAAAACATTCCTTCAAGAAACTCAGGTAACAGTATGATTCTGACAGTAAATCTGGAGGCTGAGGAGATTTATTATCCACCTCCAGGCATCAGTGAGGCAGAGTAATGGGTTCAGCGACTCATGCAACCTCCCAATGAAACATCTGCAGTCCGCAGGTGCCCCATCGTCATGGGAACCGGTGCGCCCATCAAGGGCAGGTTACTAATGCAGCCTCACCTACCCCGAAAACGTTGGTGACTGTGCGTCTCGAGACTAAAACCGGTATCGATGGGATTCAAAAGCAGTGTGTCTGCGCAAACGTCTTAAGTACGGTCCAGCAGCTCAGCGCCTGAAGCGACAGTCTGTTTCACTTGTTTTATCGTATGCTGAATCTTGGCAATTCAAGCAGAACAGCACACTCAGCCTTTGTGGGGGCTTACAGAGGTCATGACTGGAGAATAGAGGCTGTCCATCTCAGCGTCTCGCTCTGAGCCACTGCCTTCTGGGAGCAAGACGACACCCAGCCTCTGAAGGATGGACCTGAGAAGACAAAACGGCCTCAATTAACAGTGACTAATGGGACATTCCTTTAGGTTATTCATCCAACAAATAACAACATAGAGGAGACTTAAAGGGGCCATATACTGCACTTTCACAGCACTTTCTTCCCTGATGTCTATTTAGAGACAAGGTCAGAATTTCAAAGGGTGTGTTTCAATCTGTCCCTTAGTTCAGTAGTAAGTGCACTGCCCAGGGATTCAGCCAATTCTGGTACAATTTACTATCAAAATAGCTCCAGAACTGCAATTTTTTTCTTGCCGAGAAATGACCAGAATGCACCGTAAAAACCTGCAAGGCTACTGACTATATTCCCTTTCTGGAAATGTCATCATCATAAAGTCTTTTAAGTCACAGGACGAGCAAGCCTTACTTTTATGTTTCGAATTACACTACCGTTCAAAGCTTTGGGGTCAACATGGAGTAAAAACTGTAATATTGTGAAATATTAATGTAATCTGAAGTAACTGTTTCTATTACATTTAAAAAATAAATATATTTTAAAATGTAATAGTCCTGTCATGCCAAGCTGAATTTTCAGCATCGTTACTCCAGTCTTTAGTGTCACATGATACTTCAGAAATCATTCTAGTATGCTGATTTGCTGCTCAGGAAATGTTGAAAACAGTGATGTTGCCTAATTTATTTATTTTTTTTGATGAATATAAAGTTGAAAAGAATAGCAGGAATATTTAGTGACATTATTAATGTCTTTATTGCCAACTTTGATCAAATTGTTACATCCATGCTAAAGAAAAATGTTATTTTTTTTCTTTCAGAAAAACCCAAACTTTCGAAAGATCATCTATGTAAGGGAACTAATCCTGCAAACTAAAAATATTATTTGTCGAAATATTTGTTAAAATCTTGATAACCCCCCCCCAACATATTATTTATTTGTTCATTTATGTATGTTATGCAATATTACACTGACATACTAATGTTTATCTTTTTGTTTAATGTCTGATTTCCATTATGCATGTATATTTTCTGCTTTGTTTAATATACAAAAGGCAGGACAAGCTCATATTTCATAATGGCACTTTATAAGATACTTTCTAACAGCTACAACAAAAGTGTCATACAGCGATGTTGATAAATACCAGCTACGTTTTAATGCACGACCCTCATAATCGTGTCGTCGGCTGATCGCGGGTAATTGAGTCTGCTGTTTAGTGGATAAGGCCTTTTTGCTAGTGCCTGAAATTGTGTTTACGATGCACTGATTCATCCACATAACACGACCATGTATCACTATTCTGCTACTGTACTGTTTAGACTTAATCCAGCATAATTCACACTGTCAAAAGGTCTGGGGAAGTAACTTGGCACTGTGAAAAAAGGGATGGGAATCACAACAAAATCAACAAGTTCATATTACTCTTTCTGGTTCCTTAATTCCATTAGCGACTATTTTAATACTTTGAAAAAAGTGTGGTTCATTAAATAAGCCAATAATTGCACCAAATTATTCAGTGATTGATTGTGTCATTAGACCAATTCAAACCTACAAGTCTTTTTATTAGTTCACTACTTTTATTAGTTATTCGTTCAGTCAGGTTCAATTCCGATGACAAGCTCACAGCACAGCTAAAATAAAAATTTAGTAGCAACACTAACACTGAATAACACAACTGCAGGAAACACTGTCAGAGTGGTTTAGTATGATGATCCATCCACATCACTGGAAAGGTGCACGTTTGAGAACGCGTTTGTAATTTCTACATCCCTAGGCAGTCTCAGCAAATTTCCAAAAGGCCACAGGATGATGTAAAAGTTTTTAATTAATAAGTTATTATTCATATATTAAAATAATCTAACTATAACATACCCACGACCCTACATAGGATGAGGTTTGGAGAATGGATGGATGAATCACTTATATTCAATTTAAACAATTAAAAAAAAGGAAACTGAAATTAGGTGAAAAATCATCTAAAATCTGTTGTATTTCTTCTTGCTGATAAATGAATGATTCACAAAATTAAATCACAAATTACTTTTAGCAATACTCCCACTTTCTGTTAATAAATAAGTAAACTACGTATCTATTGAAATGCTGAAAATATCTCCTGTTGTTTAGGATAACTGTCGAGTAAACCACATGTCTACATAATATATTTAACTCTTCTTTCAAAAGTTTCAACTCTTACTTTTTTCTAGTGCATTCATGGTACACTTGAAACTTGGATCAAAACATACTGCTAATTTTGTTCCAGAAAATGAAGGAACTGTGAATTAAGCTGATCTACATTATACATTTTGTATTCATATGTGCACCACATCCAGTGACAATCAATCAAGCATTGCACCATACGTTTGATGCATATCATAAATACAGTACATTAACAATTACTGACACAGCAATCTGTATAAACAGCTATAAAGTAATTATTGATGTAGCCTTGTAAACAAAGCACAAACCTCCCCGCAGCCTGGAGTCTAAGTCTTCCGTTACCTGCAGGAGGAAACTATTTACCCCCACCAATCCCTCTCTGCGGTCGACTGCCGTTTCCAGCACACTGTGCCATGATTCTTGAAGAATTGTACGTTTCATTACTTACCAAACCATTATGCCTTGTTAAATGTGTACAGGTGCTTCTGCTGGCTGAATAAGTGCACTGCGCTTTAGAAACTGCTGTGTTTGCACCAAACTAGTACGAAATTAATGAACAAGACCTTTCTTTTTAACAAAACCAGTGCTACTGACACAAACAGAGCTGTGATGTAAATTTACACTGGTAGAGGGCAGGAAATGATTTGAACTGTGGGGGTATGTGCTAAGAAGGTTCCTAAACAAACTAGACCTCTGTGGGCGCTACAGGGTGAATGTGTGTATATATATATATATATATATATATATATACCTTAGCGAGGTGTGTCGGACGTGGGCTGGGTAA